GTGGCAGCTTACTGTGCCGAGGATCCAGGCATCCATGTTCAAAACCATCCAGAACTACGGTGCTCTGAAATGTGCTGCCAGTGCTCTACGGCATTTGGCGGCGCAAATCGAAGCATGGTCTCTGGAAGGCGATCGCCAAATGAAAGTGGCAAAATTGGAGGTTGTTATATAGTTATGGAGAAGTTGGGAATATAAGAAAATGTAACCCTAAAGAAATCATAAACATTTTTAAAAAATTACTAAAGCTTTGGTTGAAATAATTTGAACCAAAACCAACTAAACGCTTGTTTTATTTTCTAAATAATATTCTAAATAATATTTTCTAATAATATTTAGTAATTATTACTAAACGGTTGGTTGCTATTATTATATATTTGGTAATATTCGCTATAATAAATATTGCACCAATACATTAAACAAAATACATTTGGTACTTATATTACCGGACTTTCAGTGACTGGGATTATTCGGGAACCAAGGGGAATTAGCATTTTCGATGGCGTCGCGATGTTGAGAAAGGTCCGGGAATTGCGGATTCCCAAATCGGGCTCTTTCTTGTGAATTACGGAATTTCTCGGGGAAGGGGAGGATAGAAAAGCTGGAAGGGGGAGAGAGAGGAGAGAGAGAGAGAGAGAGAGAGAGAGAGAGAGAGAGAGAGAGAGAGAGAAATATATAGACAGACCATAAGGGAGTATGTACAAGCGTGAATAGAGAAAGGGCGAAATTCATTACGATTAAATCGGAGCCGATTGGCGCGCGGGAAAGAGAATTAGGAGGAAATTGGAGCAAATTGGTAGCTGGACTGACAATTTTCAAAAAAGAGAAGGCTATCGATCGCGCGAAGGCTTGCTGGACGAGAGAAATCTCTATCAGTTCAAGAAAGCTAAGAAAAGGGATAAGGAGATCACCTTTAGATCGGACACCCATGTTGCCGAGTCTCAGGATTCATTCGAGAAAATCGGCTCCGAGTTAAACGTCGTGCAAAAGTGCCTTTAGTTATATGCACTCCGGTATATTCCGTTGGTAATAATCTCGCCGAGTACGAGTGCTCGTTTGATTTCATCCCTCCTTTCCCTCATCTCCCTTCTACCCTCTACACCCGTGTGTAAACGTATATGCGCGCGAGCGTACAGGTGACATTAACCGTGTGTGGATCGATTAAACTGTTTCCCTGAATCTCTGTGATTGCAAGTACTCTTTCCGTTTTCTCGGAAAAGATATAGCTTTTTATTTCGGTCTTCTTGAGTTTCGCGTTTATTCGTTCGTTTTTTCTCTCGACTAAAAGGCTGAAATCGCGAACTAATCTTACTTATACACACATATATATATATATATATATATATATATATATATACATATACATATATATATATAGATATAGATATAGATATATACATACATGTAGCGTGTAAGTTCTCTCGCAAAATTAAAACTAAGAGTATATACACATCTTCTTAAAAACTTAAGACTATTCCTCATGTACTAATCTCAATCTCGTAATTTCGTTGTTTATCGTGATAGATTTACAAAAGACACATGAATCTTTCTTCCGGGTGAGACGTTATCCGCCATAGAAAAAAATGGCTTATCTTGATAACGCGAATGTCCTCAAATAAGTGGTACAATTATTACTCTACTACGTATGTAGCGCCGCATGCTAACCTATCGGTTGCAAAACTTTTAATATTTAAACAAGTGCATGAGCCGTATATCGATTCCGACGTACAGGGGAGGTCATCTTTCGAGAAGATAGGTCTGCCTATAGAAGTTATCTGTTTTCGCATTCGTTTTATGCCACTTCAAAGAAATGCTCTTATACGTTCAGAAAAAGAGATGTGGTGGTGACAACTACAAAAATGATAACTTATAGTTTCATGTGTAGAAATAATGTACATAGTTCAGTAAACTCTTTTATAGTTATTACAATTATATATGTTATTAAATTATATAGTTATTTAACTATATACATTAGTTTATTTAACTATGTACATTATTTCTATAAAACTTGAAGGGCGCTAGTTCTGGATCACTCTAAGAATAAAAATTTATATTTTTATACAGAAAGATATCAAACAATCAATAACATATTTGATATTTAATAGTTGTAATTAATTGTAAAAAATATATAATGAATACTTTTATTCAATTTTAGTGCTGTATTTTATATTTTTAAATTTGAATTGAATAAATTAATGAAAATTATTTAAACACAATTAAAAAACAAACCTCTGGATCTTACGGTTACAGATCAGACTACGAATCAGATTCATAAAACTTATTTAATTTTAACTTGTAAACATGATATTAATTTTTTCCGTGAAATTTCATGCTGTTTATCTTGTAAAACCATTTAAAAAAAATCTATTTAAATTGGTGTCTCATGTTTTATTACTTGATGATATTAATAAACTATGCAGTGTTATGTACAGTAAACAAGAAACAATTGATGATTGATAAAATTAACATATATGCTAAAGAATCTTATAATATACATCATTCGATAAAAATTATTTATTTAAGCAATAATTATTTAAATATAACAAATTGTCCTGAACTAGTGCCCAATCCATATATAGTGCTCTTATCCTGTAATTGTCAACATTATGTTTTTTTCTCTGAGTATAGGGTTCGTTAAATTTAAATTTAACTTGGATGTCCCACTTGTGCAGCGCGTTATTTTTTAACGACAGATTCTTCGATATTGATCGAAGAGTCGAATTCTCTTTGGCTCGTTTCTTCGAAAAGTACTAAGGGATAAAGAGATAATTTATTATAGCTTTCCAATCTCCAGCGTTATTACGCGTCTCTGCATCGTCGATTTAGAATTCTATTAAACTTCCTCTAAGTTTAACCGACGAATGTAGTCCTTCGTAAAGCACAATTGATTTCGCTTCCTGAACTTCGGCTTGCCGAGGAGAGAAATCCTTTTTTTTCGATCGTTAGTCGTAACTCGAGAATTATCGCTCCTACATTTCTGCTGGAGAAAACCTAGAATTGAGAAATTGAAAGAAGGAAAATGGATGGGAGGGAGAGAGAGAGAAAGAGAGAGAGAGAGAGAGAGAGAGAGAGAGAGAGAGAGAGAGAGAGAGAGAGAGAGAGAGAGAGAGAGATGCATGCCGACAGGGATACACGGGTATGGTATACATATATGCCCTGTAAATGTAGTATGAGCGGTCCGTGTGTTGCGTTGCGTTTTAGTTGATTATCTCTAGTTAGAGGTCCCTTTTTAGAGATCTAAATGCAAGCTATCATATATAGCCGAGAATAGAAATATAGAATAGAGATAAAATAGCCACTGTTGCGTACAGCGGTAACCGACATTGGTGCAATCAGTCCTAAATAAGATAACGCGTCTATTTAAAGATAAATCCGCAACAGATGTAAATATAGTAAGACGAGCGAGTGAAGTATAAACCACGAGAGTTTGCGATAATCATCCGAAGTAACTCGCATAAGCCACGCAACATTTATGTTGGGTGCATATAGAACGCGGTAGCGCGGAGGTAGTGGTTTTCCTATCTCGAAATTTATCCTATGTGCATCCAGCTTTCGTGACTTGACCCTCAACACATTTTATTTTGTATTAAAATATTACTAACAAGATTATACTCAATATGATTTACTGAAAGTTCAGAAAGATTTTCATATATATTTTTGAAACGGCAGAATTTTTTTTATTTCATTGAGACGAAAGAAACGGTAATTGCAAAATGAAAAAGAGAATTTCAAGCAACTTCGGCGTAAGGCTAAAATGCGTTCACGCACAGTTTATAAATAAATTGAACATATTATTGATTACCTGTATTCAAATTTAACCGTAAACTTTTATCAATTATTACAAGAGAGACATTATTAATACCGAGTAATAACTCTCAAATTGAAGACACAATTGAACACAATTAGTAGTCATTTATTATTAAAAATTTTTTATGTGAAATAAAAATAAAAATAAAAATTATCAACTAATATTGCCGTGTTCTAAATCGATAGTGAATTCATATAATAATAATATTTAATTCGCAACTATTGAAAAATGGAAAGACGAAATCATTAGAATATATAACGGATTTTGGACCATAGGGTTTAGTTATTTTATTCTAGATTATGCACACGCACACACACGCACACACGCACGCACGCACGCAACGCACGCACGCGCGCGCGCGCACACACACACACACTCCCCCCCCNCCCTC